AAGCTAAGATTCTTCTTAAAGTCAGTTTGATGCAACTGTGCTAAAATAGGAGATTTTTTAAAGCAGGCTTCTCTTGATGAAAGTTCTTGTTTGACGAAATTTGTCTAGCAGATGTATGACAATAAGATTTCGTCTCCAAATTTTTTCTTCATTAAAAAAAAAACTTGAAAACTAATTTAAAGCTTCTTCAAGCTTATCTTCTTGTTAATAAAATTATTTAAAAAACCTTTACATCAATGTATTTGAGCAAACGTTGCCCTAAATGTTTCGTGATCATCAAATCTTCAGGGTAAACAATAGCTTTTCTCAGAATAAACAGGCAATATTTGGAGTACACATAAGGAAAACTTGATTTGTAGATTCGCTCACCTTTCGGAAGATTAAAGCACAAATGCAGACTAAAACGGTAAAATAGGCTAGTTGTATGTCTGGATTAGGAGTATTGTGATAAATTTCCATTTCTTTCCTGAAAGTGAAGTAGAATTTAGGGAAGCCGGGAAAGAAATGTATAAGAACAATGTCTATTGTACTTCAACTGAGCAGTAACGTGGTTTTTAAAAAAGTTACCTTGCAGTGCTCCAGTACTCGTTCAAATCAAATAAAGGGTAAGTCCACCAAATCCATGGTTTCAATGGTCCCATCGTGTAGTGGAATATGGCTGGGTCTACCAAAAGCTTTCCTCCATTGATGTAATACATCGCGATATCGTAGTTAAAAGCGGCCGAAAGCCTAATAACACCTGGATCTGCTGATATTTCCGCTAAATTCAAATCACGAATAAATGAAGTTTCCTACCTTCTCTGATCGGATTCGTACTTCTGACTATTAGGATGCTCATGATCAAACATTGGTGTAAACTTTAGTTGATCAAAATAAGAATTCATAAATCCTTGGTCTCCTCCGTCATAGGTTGATAGCTCAGGTGCTTTGGCCAGTAAGTCCTCATATACCTAAAGGTAGGATAATTCAGAGGTATTCCTTTAAAACATATTATTAATTTTTATGCACACCGTGAGATTTGGCTTCAGTACCAATAAACCCGCGTTAAACTTGTCAGAATGGCGGAATGTTGCACAAAAAGAACCGCATTGAAAAAATGGCGTCAAATCCCGTATTGGAAGAATGTCCAGATCCAGATACATAATAACATCATATTCTGTCATCGACCATAATCTCAACTTTGTGTACTACAAATATATATCTTATAAGAACCAAAATAATTTAGAATTGAAGTTTAGCAAAATTTTTGAAACGAACGTGGTATTTGGCTTCCTTTTTAGCATGTGGAACAGTAAAGAATGAAGTGTGATGCACAGTTATGTTGTGAGACTCCAGCTCAGCAATACTTTCAATGCTGACATTTTCCGTTACCAGTAGAACATACGGTGCAGTCATATTCAATAGTTTCAAACGATGTGCTGAAAGGTATATCATGGCTTATATGGAATATTATATAAGTTAGCTTCAATTATTCTTTCGATATTTGCCAAGAAGGTCTGCGACAGTTTGAAATCGCTGGGTAATATTTGACTAATTTTAGCGATATTTATAGGAATT